CCTGTGTGGAACTACCGCGCCGATTTGTGCGTAGCCATTTCCTTGCCAACCATTGGATTACTAACTCCGTACAGCGATGTCTCTCGTACTTCCAATATCTCTGTGTCGTCGTATCTACGTACTACAGTCGCAGGACATGATGACATGGGGAACGACTTGCTCATGGCCCGAGTAGACCTCACTCCCATGCTCGAAGGACACGTAAGCTCTCAGACTACCTTTCTACTATTTCTTACTTAAGCTGAGTCTCGTCTTCAAATAGCACGCATCTGATCAGTGGTATAACGCTGTAGCTGGTTCTGGGTCGTTCCATCTCAAAATCGATTTCAAACCTACACGCAATGAACCCCTTACCATCGAGGCCTTTGACCTGCTCAAAGTCATTGGTAAAGGCAGCTTCGGCAAGGTTATGCAAGTACGGAAAAAGGACACCCAGCGTATCTATGCCCTCAAGACCATTCGCAAAGCGCACATTGCGCAGCGCCCTGGTGAGATTACCCACATACTCGCAGAGCGCACAGTCCTTGCGCTCGTCAATAATCCCTTCATCGTCCCCCTCAAATTTTCGTTTCAAACTCCTGACAAGTTGTACCTGGTGATGTCATTTGGTATGTCGGGACTTCTTCCGGCTCCGAAATTTTTTGACATCTGCTCAGTGAATGGAGGCGAACTATTCTACCACCTTCAGAGAGAGGGAAAGTTTGATCAGGATCGTAGCCGATTCTATGCTGCCGAGCTGTTATGTGCCCTCGAGCATCTTCACGGTTTCAATGTTGTTTATCGGTAAGCTGACTTACACGCTGCCGCGGCAGTGCCTGATGAACATCTGTCAGCGACCTAAAACCAGAAAATATCCTTCTCGATTACACAGGCCACATCGCATTATGCGATTTCGGTAAAATCTTTTCTCCGGTTTCCAACAGCATTTTCTGATTTCCATCAGGACTCTGTAAACTAAACATGTCAGAAACCGAGAAGACCAACAGTAAGATTGATCAATCATTTTCCCATCGCACAGCCTGATCATGGGTGCACAGCCTTTTGTGGTACTCCAGAGTACATCGCGCCTGAGCTACTAGAGAGCCAAGGATACACCAAGACTGTCGATTGGTGGACACTTGGTGTGTTGCTGTATGAGATGATGGTTCGTAACGTCCAACAACGAGCTTTTCTGTACGCGTCTTACTGTTATCCCTCCGCCGATTAGACCGGCCTTCCGCCCTTCTATGATGAGAACGTAAACGTGATGTATCAGCGAATTCTGACAGATCCCCTGAACTTCCCTCTGGACATGCCTTCTGAGGCACGAAGTGTGATGACGGGCTTGTTGCAGAGGGATCCGACAAGGCGTCTAGGGGCCAACGGAGGAGAAGAAATCAAAAGACATCCCTTCTTTGCAAAGTATATCGACTGGAACAGGTATAATCTTCTGTCAGCTTGGTCAAAGTTGTCTTGCTCATGGTATTCTTAGACTTCTTGCCAAGAAAAACCAACCACCGTTTAAGCCTAGTGTGGTATGTGTTTGTCTGAATTATTTTATATCAAATATGATTCTTACCATCGACTTCCTCATCCTAGGAATCGGTGTTGGACGTCGCCAACTTCGATACTGACTTCACCAACGAAGAGGCACAAGACTCAGTTGTCACAGATTCGGCGCTCTCCGAGACAGTGCAAGACCAATTCAGGGGATTCACCTACAACCCCGCAAACGAGCACCTGAGTGAGAGTGTCAGCTACCCGAGCGCCATGTGAATGGCTTTTGCGTCGGCGTCGTGTATATTTATCGTGGTTTCTCTGGATGAACCACCCAACATCTTATCTACACACCATCAACTATCCTTCGTAAGTATTTTCTTTCTCTTCATGTCTCTATTGTCTTCGTTTTCGTATGCTCGTGAGCCTTCGTTCTATCAGTTCTCCGTTGTATATATTCTATAAATGGCAGCTTTGCCTTTGATTTGTTGCATTCTCTGTATCCTCACCTTATACCAGCATATATTTTCTACTTATTCTAGCATTTCGCTTATTTTATGATGCAACCTCGGGTTGTCTTCTTCTCATTCTCATTCTCTCCAACGTACTGGTGTAACTTGGGGTACCGATGCATTTTATCTCACTTGTTACCAAAAGTAGTCAACAAATACAAGGGTGAAACTGTACAGTATGAAGTGAAACTGAAAATAGAATGAATAGTAGCTTAGTGTTCTCACGTCAATATCCTACATTGTATGGTAAGTCAAGCGACTGCGACGATGTCTTGCACCGCAGCACCCCAGAAAATACTCATCGGAATTCCTCCCTACATCATCTTCCGGAACCGTAAGGAATTTCCTTCGCCATCGTGATTACGACCAAGTTCCGGGCGATATCTTGAGAGGGGGACCTTGAAGATGTGTTTGTATCCGCGCTTGTATTGGGTAATCGCATATTGAAAAATCACCAGAGACGTTACAAAACCTAGAAGGCTATATCAGCTCAGCATCAGCTGGTGCAGCGAGTTCACAGACAGATTATGAGTTCGACCCAGACAAAGCTCTTGAGTGCCTGGACGTCTCTGCACCAAACTCTCTCATCGGCAAAATCTTGATTTTAAGACTATGAGGACAAAACATCGCATACGGTGAGAATTCAGAACTGACCATTCGGGATAATGTCACAATGGAGAGGGATCTGTCGCCAGCGTGCAGTAGAAAAAGAGTTGAACGCTGTCAGATTGATGAAGTTAACGTCCCGCAGATTGCAACGATCGAAGCAAGCTCACCTAACCAGAATATACTCAACAGTCCCAGCAATCCAGCTTCATATTGCGCGCGCCCAGTATACGAGTTTGTCATAGCAAAATCAAGTATGATCCTGACGAATTGGTTCAGACACGGAACAATTCGCCAGACAGACACACTAACATGACGGATAAAAGGACGAACGTTGCAATGGAGAGGCCAAAAGGAAAGAGGTCTGCCATGACTATTCAACTTGAGCGAACTTCAATGGCATCAGTTATCGACGACGCTTACAAAAGAAGTCCTGGAAATGATTCACGCGAGCTGCTAAAGCCAGGGTAACGATATTGACAAGGAATAGTGCCACTGGAAAGGGCAGACTCAGTGAAGGAACCACAGGTAGTGCCTCAACGACCGTGTTGTTACCATTTGCAGCAGTCTTGAACTTGCCAACTTTTGAGAAAGCCATAGACATGAACCTAAAATAGCGTATGGGTCGCTCGAAAAATCAAGGTGAGGAACAGCCCGATAGTGAAGATGAAGAGAGGAACAGAAAAGACCGTACTTAAAGCATCGTCAGGACAACGAACATTCAGATCTGAAGGTAGAAATCAAGACTTAGAACATGGCATAAGTTTGATTGTTATATCAAAGCTACAAAAAAGTACCGAATCGAAAGAGAGTCTAAAATGTCTGTCCCAAAACTACGAGCGCGACTTCCGTCACCGAGAGGTAATCCATCGTGCTCAACTCTGAAGGAACTTGACGGTCCTACCGACTGTAACTCCCCCGAGCCTCAAAACGAAGCACGGAGGCAGGCAGCAAAGGGCCGGATTGATCTTCCACGAGCGTAACAGACCCCTAGTGTATGTTTCCATGTTGGGCTACTGGGGGTCTTGACTTGCTCATGGTGCGAATCGAATGAAAGTCGGGATGAGGGGTAGGACTGAGAACTTGAATGCAAATCGGAAATGATGGTGAAACTGAAGCCTGGGATGCTGTTCCTCAGCGATATGGGATGATGTGACGATTTATACACTTGAAATGAGGTGCCCCATCGAGACGAGACGCGAATGCCAGGATGAACTCGAAAAAAAAGTAGTTAAACGTCTGATGACTAATCAGTTCCCACGTGCACATTGGTACGGTGAATATCGGTGGCTTGTGATTGGGTAGCGGGCAACGCGGAGAACTCCTCCGAATCGTAAACCTTTCTTCACTTTGACTATGGCTGCTGCCCTCATCGCCCGATCGACGGTCCAAAGGGCTCTCGCCCAACGTTCATTAGCTCGCTCAGCAGTGATCAAAGGCCAGTAAAATGTTGTCCACTTCAAGAACGCTGATTGAAGAAATCGCACAACAGTCAGACATTCGACGAACGATGCAGCGTACGTTCCGGGTGGCCGTGAGTGTTCATCAGATTCGCCTTAGAACTAGCTGATTGCGAATTGCCACTGTAGCGGTGTACAAGGGTACCGTGAACGACCCGACAACATTCCCTCCTCCCTCGCGTGCGCACGGGTCCTACCATTGGGCCTTTGAACGTCTCCTTTCCGCCAGTTTGGTACCCCTGACCGTCGCCGCATACGTCACGACTGGTTCCAACTACCCAGTCGTCGATGGTCTTCTTGGTGTATCGCTTGTCATTCATAGTCATATCGGGGTGCGTCTTTTGGTCGTCTTCCCGTCTTATTCCTGCTGTGTTACTGAAGACACGGCGTTTAGTTTGACGCATGCTTGGTTGACTACGTGCACAAGCGCAAGTTCCCTGTGATTGGACCCATAGCTACATGGACCCTTCGCGCTGTCACTGTTGGTGTGTTAGTTGGGGTCTACCAATTCAACACAAATGATATTGGTAAGCAGAACAGGTTCATTATGGCATCCGTATACTCACCTCCCCCACATAGGCCTCACTGAGCTTATTGCAAAAGTTTGGGCTGCTTGATCGGCATGCCACCATGATGTGTAGAAAGATTCAACATGATGTTAATTATTTTTCCGAAGTGTGTATGCGTCATGTTTTTTTCTTCCTGAGGCAGGGACAGTTCCCTCGTCTTCTGGCTTTGCAAAAGAAGGACTGCAGTGAAGTTGAGGATGAATCAGAGCCAAATGGAGACTAGCAGTCTCCCATTTTCAGCTGCGTGGGTTATCGCAAGGCATTGAAGGCCTTCAAATAACTTGTCGCGAACCATACTCTGTCTAATCAAGACATAAGACATAGAAGCGTTTCCTCACCTGAATTGTCATCAAAAGCAACGAAGCACAAAAATTCATTGCATTAAGGGGGAATCGAACCCCCGGCGGGTCGATATCGCCGTAATGGCAACGACCCAGGTTACCACTACCCCATTAATGCTTCTCAAGTGATGTATTGTATACTTTAATAACAAAGCTCCTCCGGAGTCGCCCTGGAATTTACAAGTTCTGAGGGTTGAAACTCAAAAAACTCAAAGATTTAGCCAAGCACTTCACCAAACCATATATGTATACTATGCCACAGCAATGAATGGATACGATGATCAACTATCGACCGCATTCCTCACGATAAAAGGCCAACCTCAAGATTGGATCTCGATGAAGTTGTGTGCTAATACTGAAGCTTCCAGAAATTCAAGTAACACCCTGATTTTCATGTCTTAGGACAAAGTTGCCTGGGCAATATTTGGGTGTTCTGAGCTTGTTGAGGGACTTGACACATCTTGTAAACGAGTATTACATTGAGGAATGAGGTTACTGAGGGTCCTGTTCGGACAGTATCCAAATCGATGTAGATAGATATACAGAATCGTAAACCGTGTCGCATTGAGATGGCCTCGGGATGTAGAAACCGCGCGGTCCTAGATTTTAGCACCTTGATCGAGAACAAAGTATCATGATCAATCTCCGTAGCAAAGCTTCTGCTGAGACAGTCGAGTGATCACAGCTGCCCAATGAAGTTTAAGAATGGAATCGAAGGTAATTTTCAGGACACCAAAATGACCAAGCACCGAGATATTCAGTCTCTTCGGGGACACGACTTTGGACCCTAGATCATTGTCGATTCACGACACACCATACATGGCATGGCTTGCGACGAGGTTGGGAAGAATGCTAGACCGGTTTCCTTCTATTTAGGCAGTAGTTGGTCGATGTGGTGGATGGCGGCGACCGAACGATTTGTTTGGCAGTGGTTGTTTGTGATCGGTTAACAGACATCGTTCGAGCTTGGTTTGTGTCACGACAACGACAACGAAGGCCAAGTCTCGACCAGTAAACGCTTCGGCTCTCATCCAGAGCTAGCTTTTCTCGAGTTTTGGTCTGTAGCGTCTTCAGAGCGCGTCTTTCTTTTCCTCATCCTCTTTTCCACCTTCTCTTCCATTCATCTTCAATACCATCGCATCTCGTATACCCTTGCACGGCATACTAGTGAAGCCTCGCGCCATTCTTCAGTGTCGCATCTCATCTTGAAGGACCGTGACCGTGATCCGCTCAACCCATCATGTCGAACGCTGCATCCTCGTCAACTTCGACAATAGCACCTACAAGTGCCGGTCCTAACGGGCAGAACTCTCATCAATCTCAGGAAGGTAATGAAGACAGGAATAGGTAAGCTTAATTTACTACTAACATGCACAAGTCACCTTGCTGACTTGTCAAATACTTAGTGTCGTGATCAAGGTCGGGATGGTGGGCGACTCACAAATAGGCAAGACGAGTCTGATGGTCAAGTACGTGGAGGGTAGTTTTGATGAGGACTATATCCAGACGCTGGGTCAGTTGCTAATTTTCCTTCCGACTTCCTTTGTCCTCTAACTCGGTCATATAGGCGTCAACTTCATGGAGAAGACGATCACAGTACGGAGAACAACTATCACCTTCTCGATATGGGACCTTGGTGGTCAGCGGGAGTTCGTAAATATGTTGCCGTTAGTCTGCAATGACGCCGTCGCCATCCTGTTCATGTTCGATTTATCACGGAAGTCGACCCTGAACTCGGTCAAGGAGTGGTACCGGCAGGCAAGAGGATTCAATAAAGTACGTATTCACCGCCAAACTTTCATATCTCTCTCTCAGTCATTGAGCGCGTTTTCATTTTGTCTTCTGCCAGACGGCCATTCCGTTCCTGATCGGCACCAAATTCGACACTTTTGCGACATTTCCACGAGACGAGCAAGAAGAAATTACCAAACAGGTGCATTTTCTTCAGCCTCTCTTTTATAAGTATTGATCATAACATGGATCATACCAGGCCAAACGATTTGCTCGCGCCATGCACGCGTCACTGATATTCTGTTCTACATCGGCGTCAATAAATGTACAAAAGATTTTTAAGATCGTCTTGGCCAAAGCCTTCGATTTAAAGTGTGTTATACCTGAAATCGAGGGGGTGGGCGAACCAATATTGATATACGTGGATGTGTAATGCGTAAGAGGGAGGAATACATGTGGTCGGATGACGAGATAGTCGAAGGGCAGGATTAAGAAAATACCAAGGTAAGCAGAAGGCCGTTGAGAGGGCCATGCGTGGCTGATAAGGGTGCGCTAGCTGTATCCATGTTTTTCCGTAGCTGGTGCTCTTACTGATCGAACATCTTCTGATCACCTGGATGTGGTCTTATGCAGGAGGTTCCCTCAACTCCTTGCTGCGACGTACCTTCCTACGGTATTATAGTACAGTCATTCTACTTACCCTCCTTTGATCACCACACTCTTTTATGGACAACGTATATATTCCGCCCTCCTCTTTTTTTTTACCCACATCGCCGTTTTCGTTGTTTTGCTGCACTCCTTATGTTTCATTTCCTCATCTGCCTCATTGTCATGCATAACTATAAATTGTTTCAGTTCACATCTCATGAATTGGAAGGAATCATCACTACTCGTCCATTTCTTGGATCATTTGCTTTCTGACCGGATTTCACGAGGGTCACCTTTCCTCGGTGCTCGCAAGCTTTATTGGTCCTCTGAGTTGAGCAATTTCTTTGATTAAGGCAGATGTGCATTCAGAGCACATTTCTTATGGTAAAATGGGAAAATCTATTTTTAAATTTTCCCTGGGTTTAACGTGGTCAGCCATCACAACCTCGACTTACCAACGGAGGAACAGAAGAAGGCAAAAGATGTCAAACGCCCCCATCGTGACTGTCGTGACGAGTATGACATTGGAAAACTGCTAAGTCTAAAAAATATGAACTTCCGACCTTGACACGACAAAACGACCTCATCATGTACAACCACAATAACCGATAGGGGCTGGGTGTAACAGATCAGAATCGGCTATATGGATACACAAGGTCTAGGGAATTCCTATCGCAAGAATATAAGGAGTGCCCATCCGTTATCACAGGGTTTATGTTTACACATGAAAGTCTTCGTGAATCCGATAAGGACTCACAGAAGTGCTCGATTGCGGTTTTTCCTGATATGCGCCATTAAACAAGGCCAGACATACATACCCCTTCGAGTCAAGTTCAGATTGATCGCTTTATCAGATTCGTAGAGACTTCGTATAAGCTTTCCTTCCTATCACGGAGCGTTCGGGGGAGGAAGTCGAAGATGCCTTGCTGCTTTCATCAAGCGTAAGATGAAAGAGCAAGTTCGTCAAAATTGGAAAGAGAACCCAGACTGATCTTTGCCGAGCCGGTCAGTGACCTTAGAATCATGAGGTCAGAGTTCAAATTCAAACGTTCACGGCTGTCATCAAGTGAACGCAACGCAAGACCGGTTTCCAAACTTGTGTAACTTCATGTACTCTCATACACCTGGTTTGATGTCGGAACGAGTCACAGTGTAGATAGGGCCGAGAAAAGGTCAGTTGTCTTCGCTTCATCTATATTGAAGCTCCATCATTCCGAGACGCACAATACTCTCGAGATCACCGGACTCCAATTATGGACCCCTGCCTTCAGGGAAGACACAATTATCGGAGTCACTTCGAGAAAAATTCCTAGAAACCCAACAGAAAGCTGGTGACTGCCGAGCCTATACAGTTCGAACGGAAAAAGTCGACTCGGCAACAAGAAGATTTGAAGGCCACGTGAGGGGCTCATGAACCTCTTTGCCTCCGACTTCTATATACAATAGAAGTACACCTGTTTTCCCTGTTCTACTGGTGTCAGGTGCCGGAATTTGACGGTTCCGCATGCTCAAGTGCTGTAACCATATCGATTTGTGCCACCAGCCTGCCCGATAAGTGATGTCGTTACTGTATTCTCCCGCTGGACCGGCCAGCACGCGTTCCCTATTTTCCTCTGCCTCTGTATGACCCTTATGTTTTTGTGCCTTTTCCGGGACTTTCAGCTGACCACTCGAATCGATGCATCGGGATCATTGCCGCCAATGCGACTCAGCTCGATGTTAACTGTATATTTGGATTCTGTTACCGTTGACTATTCTATGGGCTACGGAGACTTGTGCATGGCTTGTTGACTGGATGATCCCTTCACATAAGATTTTCCATGTGGTTTTTATGCCTTGACTGACTTATCTTCCATATTACAATGACTCGGCATTCTGATTTGTTTTCTTCGGGTATGATGATCCCCATTTGTCTAACCCGTATGTTGACTTGTCTCGTGCTAACGGATGGAAAATGTCCATGAATGACATACTCTTGCCTTCCCAAGGTATAAATACATACATGCAGAGATTGACCCTCCTCACCCTTGCCAGTCTTCACCAGTTGTTCGGAAGTCATGGCCTACTCTCAATCCTTTTTCAAGCGAGTGCTCCTTCTTGGATTCGTGACTTTACTGGTGGCCGTGTATGTCGATGCGACGCAGATCATGCATCGCCCATCTACCTATAAGACTCCTGCCAAGACTGTCCAGACTGAGAAGAATCCCAAGACGAAAATCATCACAAAACGTTCTTCTGGGAGAACATCTTTTGCTTATTTTACGAACTGGGGAATCTATGGCGCCAATTTCCGTTTGTCCTAATGTCTGAGTTCTTCCAGGACAGGTTCTTACTTGACCATTCCAGAACCTACTGATATCGTCTCTTCCACCTTGACTCGTTCGTTCATTCCAGCCTACATATCCCTTGTGTCCTTCTGACTACAATTTGCAGATATCTTATATGCCTTTGCGGATGTCGATCCTACAACAGGAGCCATCAAGCTAACCGATCCTTATGCCGATGAACAGGTGAGTTTTGAAATCTTTACTGTTTATCCTTTCTAAATTTGAATCTACAGAAACACTATCCGTCTGACTCATGGAGTGAAACTGGGAACAATCTCTACGGTTGCCTAAAGCAACTCTATCTCTTGAAGCTCAAGCAAAGGAACCTGAAGGTTCTGCTATCGATTGGTGGATGGACATACTCTCAGTCCGGTGAGTGTACTCAACTCTTGATTCGCACTCTGAAGGCTGA